CATGTGGGATCAAATGTATTTCTTGTGAATATGATGAACCAAATGTGAAATTGGTGAAAACTTGAGGAATGTAAACTGTAATTTTTCATATATATATATATATTGCATAGCATGAAAAAGGTGCAAAAAAATGTAGCTTGGTTTAGGGGAAAAGGTGGAGAGAGGAATTAAATAGAAAAAAATGGTAATGAAGCAAGTGATGAGTTTTCCCCCACTGTGTCAACTCACTACTTTTCTTTCATACTTCCATGCACAACACTGCTTCCTTGCTCGGTTTTCCATGTTTATTACCAAAATATATACGAGAAATTTAATTAGTAGCTATGAATAATAATGACAATTATTTAGGTTTTAATTAAACTTTCTCAGTTCAAATTTTATTTGTTAAAAGACCATTGCCTAGTTTTTTTAAACACATTGTAACTATTGTAATCTTGATTTTATATATCCATTATATATGATGCCAATCAAGTTTTTCTCTAAAGTTCAACGACTTTTGGCTGCTAAAGCACGTTTAGGGTTTCGGATTTCGAATTTTGGGTTCAGTTTCGGGTTTAATTAGGTCTTGAAATATTCGATTTTCTACTATTGGTAAATTTTTAGGATTTTCTTTTCACCATTATATGAAACTCAATACACTCATTTTTCATACTATTTGTTTGTTTTGGAGAAAAAAAGTTGTTTCATTATTTGTCACTTTAATTACAATTAAGCACTAACTATACTTTTCTTAATACCCTTACTAATCTTCATTTTATTTTGAAATAATTACGGGTGAAACTTTAATGAGATGGGGTATTTTGGTCAATCATTTCCCAATATTTTTCCCCAAACATTACACTTGTAATTATAATTTAAAATTTTAATGCGAATAACAAATTATATTTTTTCGTTCTGATTTTTTATTGATTATATTTTCGATTCCGATATTTTATTCCGAATTGACTGCATTTCAAACATCCCAAAATCAATGCATCCAAAATACGGTATAGAATAGAGGGACGTGTTTGGTACAAGGAGTGAAATTTGAAATTTCGTTTTTTTCAAATGAAAGAAATTTGTTTGATATTGTGGTGTATCCAAACAAAGCTCTAGCGAGAGGTACAACTATACACCAGCGCTACAGGTGTATGAAAGAGGAGGGCCCCATTGAGCAATAGCTTTCTCTCTACAGTAGAAAGACAACAGTTTCCTGCAATTTCAGCTATCCCCCTCCAAATATTAAATGGCTACTTTCACCGATTGCAGAAAGCGCAGTTCTTCCTTTTTTATTTTGTCAGTCTTGTCTTTTTCCCATTTTTCATATCTCTCTTGATCTTCTCGGGTTCGGACACGCGATTTCTGCCACGTCATATGCTGTGTTTGTTTAGTAGGGCCCACCTTTGATAACCACACTTTTATTTTTCTATTTTTTTCTATTTAATATCTTAATTATATAAAAAAGTAAGTTGTTTTTCAAATCTTGTTGTACAATTACTATAATTCATTCAAATATTTGATTATATTTCTACAATACTACATCGAAAATTACAATTTTTTTTTATATATAATCCCAATCCAATCAAATAATATCGGAGATTTTCGGAGATCAGAATTTCGAAGAATGGAATCAAAAAAATCATTCCAAAATCTGAAATTTTCGATTCGAAACCAATGGAAATTGGAATTTTTTTTCCAACTTATTACATATTTTTTTGAAACAACATATTGTACAAAAAAAAGAAGTGGTTATTCTTATCATCCCAAATATAAATACTTATTTAGAACTTCTTTCACACACTATAATAAAACTTATGTTAAAAATTTCATATATGTACGAATGTTCAAAATGTTTAAAAAACGTTTAGCCAAACAAGCCCCTATCATATTACGTACTTCATCCATTTCAAATTAACAATCGTTTAACTGATTTGTTTCTAATGATGCATTAATTTTGTTTCCTTCACATATATATACCCTTATTACTATTTAATATTATCAAACACTTATTCTTACAAATGAAGAAAATAATTAATAAACAAAGAATTTGTTTAAAGGGTATTTTAATCCTAGTACACACATAACATTTTATTCCCTTTTTCCCTAAAAAATTGATATATATTATTAATTTTCTTAATATTCGTAACAAAAACTTAAACGACACTAATTTTGTAACGGGTGAATGTATGTATTTAACGATTGTGTATGTATGTACTGTACTGTCAATACTGTTTTTACAATTAATTAGTAACATAATTTAATAAAATAAGTAATTATATACATATATATTTGACATTCTCTTACAATATTAATATAAAGATATTTATCTTACATCGTATTAGATGTAACAGTATTAATAATATCTTATGTCAGATATATAAATATACATACATATATATGTCCCGGTTTGATGTTCTTACTTCTCATATATAACAGCTTAATTAACCTAGTACCTACTGTTTCTGTGTTTCAAACAAAAATAAAAATTAAAAATAAAAATAAAATAGAAAAAATTCAATAGTAGCAATAGGATATTTGCTGTTGCTCAGAACAGTTATCTATGATGTATTGTATTCGGGCCAAACAATTTGTTGTAATTAATACATATTTCTTCTGTACCGCAATACAAATATTAAAAACAATGAAAAAGAAAAAAGGATCATATTACTGATTAGCATAAATTTCAGTCATCCTATCATAATATTTTCAGCCATATTTTTAATTGGGATAGTATAGATAACAAAATAATAAAACAAAATCATTTTTATTTTTATTTTTTATTTTTTATTAGTAGCTAGATACTTTTAAGGAAGAAACTTACAAACCAAACATATAGATCCACGAGATAAACCTACAGTCTCGAATAATAGCTTGCAAACGATATGAAAATCGCAAATCACTAATGATTAAGGGACTGCATGCATGCATGCATACTTCTACAGTTCTACTATTATTGTGAAGGAATATTATATTTATTTTATCATAACTGAACAAAGATCTTTGTTATGAATTCGAAAGTATTATTATAATTTATTAAAATTGAAAACATTCAATTGTATACAGATGGAATTAATTATGTTTTTTTTCTTTCTGTTTCATGTTTAATTAAAGGGTATGGGGGAGAGACAAGAAAACCCTACTTGTTTGTATGACACGAAAAAGATCAGCTTTATGCATGTCTTCCACAACATTTATTTTTATTTCTTTCCCAAGAAAACTATTAATTAGTAGTATATATTTGATTGAAGTGATGGTTGTTCCATCCCACAATCACCCACTATATATAATTAATAGTTAAATTAATTAATATGCCTATAGATAGATACATCTAAATTTTAAAGTACACAAATTTTTTTTTTAGTGGAGACATGCACAAATAATTAAATAATTAATTAGTTTCAAATACTGAACATGATCAATTAAAAAAAAATGTTATTTTTAAGTATAATATTTAAATCATAATAAATTGAAATGAATAAATAAAATTGAGGTGTAGTGGGAGTATTATTAATATATGAATATGGAAACCCAAGAATAAGAAAAAGTGGTCTGCAAGAGATTCTTGAAACAGTTGAAGAAAACGAGGTTCTTGGTTATAAAATTATGCCTACTTTTGGAGATTTTGTCACTACTCCATATATTTTTTCCCCCTAATATATACATATAAAAATAGGAAGAAAAAAAATAATAAGAAACTAAAATATATATATATATATATATATATATTTCAAATGATTTTAAGACATAAAAATTATATTTTAGAATATTTTATTGAAATGCCATACAAGAAAAACAAATACACAGAAACCCTATTTAAATATTTATTGTTTTTGGATAAATAAAAGATATAATTAATTTTGAGAGAAAAAAAGGAAAAATAATAAATGGAAAATTTGGCAGGTATAGAAGTTATGGGTCAAAGACACGCATGGAGACTGTGGCATGCTCTGCTTTTTTTTCTGGAGATAATAAATTCAATATTTCAAGAACACACGGTTGTCTATTTATTTATTTATTTATTTATTTCCCCATTAAATATTACTATATAGTTGAGCTTATTCTAAATAATTCTTTATTTAGTTTTTCTATTTTACAAAAAGAAATAACAATTTATTTTGTTTGTCTGTATTACAAAAATGTATGTTTTTTTTTTATAATTTTTTTTTACTTGTTTAATTTTTAAGAAAGAACTCGTAGTCTTATTATACATGTGCATCGAGTAAACCTCATCAAATTTAGATTACATAATACCGCACCCGATTACGCTACCAACTAGGCCACCCATTGGAACACTTTATAATTTTATGGTGAAAATCAAGGGTAAATTACGACCGCCCCTCTGAAGTAAGGTCGCCCCTACGAAGTAAGGTCTATTTACAAAACCTGGTGTTTTTCCATAATTATATTTGGGTTATTTTGTTTTAGTGTTGTTTAAGCATGTATTGGGCCCTAAATATGATCCGGCCCGAACCCAAGAAGACCTCAACAATCTTTACCTTAATAGCTAACAACAATGTACATTAAATCTCTACAAATTAATACAGTCGGAACTAATTTTTTTTTTATTAATTTAATGAATTATTAAATTATCGAGTTAATAATTGAACATATTTACACCAAGTCGGGACCGAAAAAACTATTATTTAGTTGATGTTATTAATTTATCGAGGTTCTCCTGTAATCATAATCAATCTTATCAATCACACCTACATCCCCAAACGAGGCCTGTAACTGAAATAAGTCTCTTGATTATGACTTTGTTTTTTCAGATAAATATACCATGCAGAAAAATTAATCAAAATAATTCCTGTTATTATGTGTGTATAAAATTAATCAAAATAGTTCCCAATAGTCTGTCGAAAAATTACCAAGGCATAAAATTACGTTACACGCAGAGACGAATTCCGAAGAACAAATACTGCATCTCAATCTTAGGACACAACCCACTTATTACGAGAAGGAATACATTGACAAAACCTGTAATATGCATACGGAGATATACATTTTCCGACACAAAGCACTTTGAAAACATGCATAGGAATAAAAACCCCATGAACTTCAATCGTAAAAAAAGGTCATAATATCCGATCTGGGTCGATAATTTCCAGCCAATACATGCATCAATCAATCGCCAATAACTGCTATTATTCATGAACTAAAAAAATATATCAATGGCGATCATGTGTTTGGAGAAAAAGATTCATACTTTATGCGAATCAAAATCATGTCGGTTACAATTCAAAAAAAAAAGACAGAAACAAGAAAAGGCCATTGAAGAGGTTTTGCAGTACCGACCCGCTGCGCTAGCAGCTTAGGCGAGAGAGTCCTTTTCTTTCTGTTCTCGGTATAGCTCTTCTCTCATTCTCCTTATCTCGATCTCTTTCTCCATTCTCTCTTTCTGCACGATACAAGAATATTACGGGAGAAAAGAGCCAATTTAGCAATTATGCGATCACGTTTTTCCGATAAAATTTATCCATGGTTTGACATCGAAACATATACATTTCATTGCACAGATAAAAATCCGAAGTACAATAGTACAAAGGTAAGACACGGATCCAAGCACTAGTATCAACACGGGAATAAAATTAAAGCCACTTTGAGAGTGAATGTTTGCATCAACCAAAAATCTTCGTGATTTGTATGCACGCCCGTATAACTCGACCCGCACCTTTGGAACGTAGTAGCAGTTGCCACAAAATACGGGTTGGAGAAATTGCAGTACAATTTTCCGAATTCCAATTCCAATTCCAAATTCATTCACAAAACAGAGGATATTCACAAAATATTACTTAGAAAACCGTATAAACAATGTACTACGAATAATAAATTGCAGTAGAGTTAGTTTTCTTTACACATAATCTGGAAATCGCAGTATCGCCCCAAAACATAATCGATTATTGTGCTATTCGATAAAAAAAAAATCCCCAAATCCAAAACCTAAATCCCCAAAATCCTTTTCCACAATGAACAAAATCAACCCAATTAAAAATATAAACAGAAACCCATGACGATCTTAGCTACGATAAACAGATAAAACCCAAAATCAATAGAAAACAGATACGGAAAACTGGCACGCACATAATCGGATCCAAATAAAAAAAAAATAACAAAGCAAAATCACCAGCAACAATTCCTTTCCACTCGCAAAAAATTACCCATTAAATTAAAACACGCGAAAATAAAAATCAGAGCGGAATCTAGGTATCGTGAAGCGGAAAATCAAAGAAGGAATATAAATAAATTACCTTTTCGTCCTGGTGAAGGGCAATCCAGACGTGGACTTTATCCATTGTTTGCCAGAAGAGAAATGCGCCAAAGGTCATTCCGAAGAAGGTCGCCACTTTCACCATTTTCAATAATTTCAGCAAGATCCAAAACGAAAAGCTCTCGTATTTTGGGACAAAATTATGCAGTTCAGATTGTTGAGATACAACGCCAAACGACGCCGTTTTGCGGATTTATATCGTTTCAGATATTAAAAGCTTAATTGTACATTCCTCCCCATACTAAGGATAAATTACTTGCGAATATTTCACTTTTAGGCTTCTACTATTTACTATTTACAAATTACAATCATCTTTGATTTAGGGCCCGACCCGGCGGGTCTACCCGTGGGACCCGGCCCGAGGACCCGAACCAGGACCCGGGTATTAAACCAGTTTTTTTCTTATCACTTTGCCAACCAATATTTTTGTTTAAATATAGACAATAAATATATATAATATAAAACACTGGTGTAAAATAATAAACATGTTAAATAAATTATTAATTTTTATTAAATAGTTTTAATTAAATTATTGACAAATGCAAATTAAGGAACTTTTAAAAAAATATATACAATCACAATTCAATACTTCAAAACATCTATTATTAATTATTATATCAATATAATCTCCAATATTGAAAAATATAAAATATTGAATAATTCAATATATAAACAAACGTGTTCATTTAATACAAACTCACTTATGTTATTAAAATCGATAGTGTGAAAAATTCGAATGAAAAATAAAATAAGATGTTTATTTAAAAAAATGATTATAACTCATTTCAATTAATTTAAATCGATTAATCTCAATTGTTCACAAGAACTTATTTAAATTATTGATTACTTTATCATAAGATAATTATTTAAAAATATAGATGATGTTTATTTTAACAAAAATAGATTATATCTCATTCCAATTAATTTATTACTTTAAAAATAAAACAATATATGCCGAGTATAATCAAAATATTATGATGTGATTTCTTTTTAATAATTGGTTTAGTTTGTAAAAATCGTAAGAATTAAATCGTAGATCATATTATTTAATCTTTTTTTTTTACATTTACATTTTATTCAAAGATTAGAATCGAATCGTAAGATTTAATTGGATTAAGCTCAAGTCCATTCATTTTTTTTATTATATTAAATTTGTTAATAATTTAATTAAATTATTTAATAATAATGAATATGATAATTAATAATCTATTTAACATTATTTATTATAATCATTTTACACCTTTTGTTTATGCTATATATATTTCTTGTTATAATAATCCTAACTATAAATATAAAAATATAAAAAACACTATCAAATGATTTTAATAATTGTATAACTAATGTTTTATAAATTATTAATTGTCATATTGACTATTATTAATATCAAAAATCCCGATTAATAACAAATGCATATATATTTAATTTTGAAAAATATAAAAAAATACGATTTAATTTAAAAGAAAGATTGAACATTGATTTCTTTTGAATTTTGAAAATTTGAAAAATTTCTCAAGTATTATTTTTACTTATAAATACCCATAATCCAATCTTCACGACTTTTATTTTATTTAGTTTATGTCTCAAGGTCTTAATCGTTTCATTTTTTTCTAAAATTGTTTAATGTTTAAATTTAATTATTTTTTTAATTTTGAATTTAAAGTTAATCACATGTTTTTTCAAGTTTCAATATAAGTTTTTTTTTGTATTTAAAAAAAATGAAAACCCGGGTTGGAGCTGGACCCGGATGGATCCGGGTGGACCCGCCCCGGACCCGGACCCGGCTCCCTCTGGGTCGGCTTCGGGTCCCCCAAAAGTCGGACCCGGATCCGGACACGACCCGCCCCGTGGCCATGTCTACAACTATGTATTATTTTACGAAAAAACCCCCTCCAAATGTAAATTATTAACCATTGATGTGGTAAAATAACTTCCCACTAAGCACATATACACATGATTGTATGTATGATTGTGTGCAGATCAACGGTTAATATTCATCCGTTGTGTAGAGTCAAACAAACCCCAATGAATCACTCTTACTATTTTTCAATTATAAAATGAAGTGCCGCCCCAAGTAACATTTGATTTGTTCTTGGCTTGATCATCATCCCTGAATATTTATATCGGTTTTTTTCGAAGCTTCCATTGAGATATGAAATTAAACAAAAATGATTATTAATCGTTGTTCTCAGATATAATCACACACGCTCATTCATTTATGTGTATTTATGCTTAGTGGGTGGACATTTAATTAGGGGTGAGAACGGGTCGGTTCGGTTTCAGCCACAAACCAGAACCGGAACCGGAATCGAAGTGTTCGGTTCCTAAAGAACCAAAAACCAAACCCATGGATTTCCTGCGGTTTGGTTCCAATCGGTTTCGGTTAGGTTTTTTATCGGTTTTGGTTGCTTCTCGGTTCATAAAATTCTCGATTCGATTTCAATAATGGTTCGGTTTTAGGTTCAGTTTTGGGCTCATTTTGGCCTGAAAATCAGCCAAAAAAAAATCAATAAATCATCTCAAAATTCATAAAAAAAAAAAAAAATCAATTAAAAATCAGCCCAAACTGTTGGAAGGTAATGCACTAGACTCTTCGAATAACACATCAAGGAGTAATCACAGTAAAATGTATCTATCTCAAATGTATCTAGCATGTGTCCATTTGTCTTCTAGTAGTCTAGAATTTTCTATTGTTAAGTATATATATGTAAGCATTTTGCTATGTGAAGTGTAGAACGAGAAAAGCCAATTAGAGATAAATAAAAAGATTAGTTTTGAGCTCTGCCGCAGCAACTCGAGTGAAATATTTTCTTTCTAAGTTTGTCTTTGCAAACTCACAAAGTGGTATCAAGAGCGAGGTTCTTTTGTATGAACTGGGAGTAACATTAAAAAAAAAAAAAAATGTCAGCAGAATCATCACATTCTTTCATTCCAGTTTTTGGGGGAGAAAATTACGATTTTTGGAAAATTAAAATGAGAACGTATCTCATGTCAGAAGGATTGTGGAGTGTCGTCGATAGTGGATTCGAGGAGCCAGAAGATGCAAGCCAACTGTCAAATGCAGAAAAGAAAAGGCTTGATGAGACGCGTATTGCCGATGCAAAAGCACTCTCAAAGTTACATAATGCAGTAACCGCACCAATGTTTCCGAGAATAATGGCGGCTTCTAATGCTAGAGCTGCCTGGCTAATTTTAGAACAAGAATTTCAAGGTGAAAGCAAGCTAATTGCCTTAAAAATCCAAAGTCTTCGAAAGGATTTCGAGAACTTAAAGATGAATGAATCTGAAACCATTCAAGACTACTCATCAAGAGTCACGGAAGTAGTGAATCAACTTTATTCACTTGGAGAAAACTTATCAAGCCAGACCATTGTGGAAAGAGTCCTGAACAGTTTGCCGGAGAAGTACGATGATATGGTGGCTGTGATTGAAGAGACGAAAGATCTGTCTACACTAACCCTGCAGCAACTCTTGGGTTCATTAAAAAATCATGAACAGAGAAAATCGAGGCGCAACACTCACTCAATTGAAAGTGCTTTCCAGTCAAAGTTGTCGTTTGGATTGCACAAGAAAAACGACTCCAGCAAAGGGGCTGATCTAAGGAAAGATCGGGGTGGTCCAAGAAAAGATGCTTGGCACAACAGAAGTACGGAATCAAAATACGAGAAAGGTACGCATTCCAAGGATTCAAATTTATTTTGCAGAAAATGCAAAAGAACGAACCATGATACACAAGATTGTCGATATCTTGGTCAACCGCAATGCCATGGGTGTCAAAAATTTGGTCATCTGAAAAAGGATTGTCGTGTCAAATACAAAAATCAGCCTAGATTCGAAAATCGTGCAAATATTACAAAGGAAACAGAGATTGAGGAGGCAAATTTGTTCTATGCTTGCCAATCGGCTCTAGAAGAAAATTCAAAAAAATGGCAGCTTGATAGCGGATGTAGTAATCATATGACAGGGAATGAGAAAATATTTCTCGATATGGATAAAATCAGCTCTAAAGTTCGACTGGGCAACGGTGCACTTGTTCAAGCTAAGGGAATGGGCACTATTTCTATCGAAACAAAAAGGGGAAAAAGGTACATTCATGAGGTCCTATTTGTTCCAGATATTGAAGAAAATTTGCTCAGTGTTGGTCAATTGATCGAGAATGGTTATCATCTCCATTTTGGTGATAATGCCTGCAAGATTTTTGATAAGAATAAACAATTCATCGCACATGTCACAATGCAGGAAAAGAGAAGTTTTCCTATTGAATTTCATTATGAAACTGTTCATGCTTTGAAAGCTGAAGTCTGGCAGGATTCCTGGTTGTGGCATAGACGTTTTTGTCATCTAAATTTCCATGGATTAAAGCTTTTAAGGCAAAAAGGCATGGTCCACGGGCTGCCGGAAATAGAGATAGCTGGTGAACCTTGTGAAGAATGTATAATGGGTAAGCAAGCTAGGCTGCCATTTCCAAAAGGAAGATCTTGGAGAGCCAAAGCTCCTCTCGAGCTTATTCATACAGATATTTGTGGGCAAATGAGGACTCCGTCTTTCAACGACCACAAGTATTTCTTGACGTTCATCGACGATTACTCAAGAATGACTTGGGTGTATTTCTTGAAGCAGAAGTCTGAAGCTTTCGGCGTCTTCAAACAATTCAAAGCACTTGTTGAAAACCAAAGTGGTCTGAGAATCAAGCTTATTAGAAGTGACCGAGGCGGCGAGTATACTTCCAATGAGTTCGAGAGTTATTGCAAGAATGAGGGCATTCGAAAGCAATTGACAGCAAGCTACACACCGCAGCAAAATGGTGTTGCGGAGAGGAAAAATAGAACAATTGTTGATATGGCAACGTCAATGCTAAAGGAGAAAGAATTGCCAAAGATTTTCTGGGCCGAAGCTGTTCACACAGCTGTTTATATTCTAAATCGATGTCCTACTAAAGCAGTGAAGAACCAAACGCCATTTGAAGCTTGGAGCGGTGTGAAGCCGTCGGTAAGTCGTTTTAAAATTTTTGGTTGCATTTGTTATGCTCATATACCTCCAGAAAAAAGGATCAAATTTGATAACAAAAGCACCAAATGTATTTTTATTGGCTATAGCGACGAAACGAAAGGCTACAGATTATATGATGTTGAAACTGAAAAGTTAATTGTTAGTCGAGATGTTATTTTCAATGAAAAAGCTTCGTGGGATTGGACAAATAAAAGAGTGCAGGAAATGCCCGTTGTTTTGGTTCAAAATCGTAAAGAAGTTGCCAGAGTACAAGAAGAACCAGCTTCTCCTCAAACACCAGGCTCTGAAACTTCATCATCCTCTTCTTCTCCAGGGTCCTCTCCAAAAAGGTTTCGCAGTTTGAGAGAAGTCTACGAATCGTGCAATTTCTCTGCGATAGAACCTGAATCTTTTGAAGAAGCTGAGAAACAAGATGTTTGGGTCGATGCTATGAACGAAGAATTGCGAATGATTGAGAAAAATCAAACGTGGGAACTAGTTGATAAACCAACAGGCAAGGACGTTATCGGCTTGAAATGGATATTCAAAACAAAGTTCAATCAAGACGGAAGCATTCAAAAGCACAAAGCCAGGCTTGTCGCTAAAGGGTTTGTCCAGAAACCCGGCATTGATTTTCACGAAAGTTTTGCTCCAGTTGCTCGCCACGAGACAATTCGTACCCTGATTGCACTTGCGGCACAAAAGGAATGGAAAATATACCAACTTGATGTTAAGTCCGCCTTTCTAAATGGGATGTTGAAGGAAGAAGTTTTCGTCGAGCAACCACAAGGTTTTCATGTTGAGGGAACTGAAAATAAAGTTTACAAGTTAAGAAAAGCACTTTACGGGCTCAAGCAAGCACCGCGTGCTTGGTACGAAGAGATTGATAAATATTTCATGAAGAAAGGATTTGAGCGAAGCAAAAGTGAGCCTACACTTTATGTGCTTCAGAAGGGAATTCACATTCTCATTGTGTCCATTTACGTTGATGATTTGATTGTTACCGGAAATGACGACAAATTTATTCAAAGTTTCAAATCCGACATGATGAGCACTTACGAGATGAGTGATCTGGGGCTGCTACATTATTTTTTGGGTATTGAGGTTTCCCAACTCGATACTGGAATTTTTATTGGACAGCAGAAGTATGCTGAAAATATGCTACGAAAATTTAAAATGGAAGGCTGCAAAGATGTTGCAACACCTCTTGTTGCAACTGAAAAGCTGAAAAAGGAAGATGGGGCAAAAAATGCAGACGGTTCAATATATAGAAGTCTCGTAGGCAGCCTATTATACTTGACAGCTACTCGGCCTGATATGATGTTTGCAGCAAGTTTACTCTCTCGTTTTATGCAGCAGCCCAGTCAGAATCATTTTAGAGCTGCAAAGCGAGTTCTTAGATATTTGCATGGTACACGAGATTATGGTATTTTCTATAAAGCAGGAGAACCATTGAAGCTTTACGGGTATTGTGACAGCGACTGGGCCGGATGCCTCGACGATATGAAAAGCACATCAGGTTATGTGTTTTCCCTTGGTTCAGGTATTTGTACGTGGGCCTCAAGGAAACAAAAAACAGTGGCGCAATCTTCTGCCGAAGCAGAATATGTTGCTGCAGCCAAAGCTACTTCTCAAGCAATATGGTTGCGAAGGATTATGGAAGACATGGGTGAAAAGCAAAACGAAGAAACCGTGTTGTTTTGTGATAACAAATCTGCGATTGCAATGGGGAAAAATCCAATAAGTCATGATCGGACGAAGCATATTGCCATCAAATATCATTTTATAAGAGAAGCCGCTGAAGATGGTGAAATTTGGCTTGAGTATTGTAAGTCAGAAGACCAACTTGCCGACATACTCACTAAGCCTCTTACCAAAGAAAAGTTCATCTACTTGAGAACATTGATTGGAGTAGTAAAGAAAGTGCATTAAGGGGGAGTGTTGGAAGGTAATGCACTAGACTCTTCGAATAACACATCAAGGAGTAATCACAGTAAAATGTATCTATCTCAAATGTATCTAGCATGTGTCCATTTGTCTTCTAGTAGTCTAGAATTTTCTATTGTTAAGTATATATATGTAAGCATTTTGCTATGTGAAGTGTAGAACGAGAAAAGCCAATTAGAGATAAATAAAAAGATTAGTTTTGAGCTCTGCCGCAGCAACTCGAGCGTAGGTCCAAAATAGGCCAAAAAATCAATTGAAATTCATTCATGTAAGAAAAATATATAATATATATACTTAATGAAACGACGTTGTATTGGTGTTGGTTCGGTTTCCTACTTGAAAAAACAAATATGAACCGTAATTTTCGGTTCACAGAAAATTGCAAGCCGAGTATGCGGTTTATGCTTCGGTTCGGTGCAATTCGCTTCGATTCCTCGGTTTTTTTTTTCTCACCCCTACATTTAACCACATCAATCGTTAATTATCACCTGGTAATGTAGCATCTCAACAATCGGGCTTTGATCTCTGTAAATTAATACCGTCACACATTTGGCGGGAATATTCGCAAACTTAGATTATGGCCTCGTGCTAAAACACAATTATGTAATTAGTCGGTACTTGATTCACCACCTTCCCAAAAGACTAAACTATCCCTCCAAAAGAAGAGAACAAGGGACACATTGGTGGAAGTTATGAAAACAACATATATATATATAAACAAAGAGGCCGGCTAATAATGTCAATAAGCATATAAATATTAAATATATAATAAACTCTTGATGTAACTTCCATATGTTGATTTAAATCACTAATTATAAATATCTTTTTTTCCTATGTTTGATACCATTAAATAGCAAATTTTCACCACACATGAAGAAGATTTGTGTTTAAAAAAATAACTAATTAAGGCCGATTCGAAAGAAAAAATGAGTAGTAGTAGTAGCAGTAGCAGTAGCAGTAGTAAAGGTGGGCTTTTCAGGTACGCCGATGGGGTCGACAAGT